GGCCTCCAACCTAACAGCGATGGCCTCCAACCTAACAGCGATGGCCTGCAACCTACTAGCGATGGCCTCCAACCTGAGAGCGATGGCCTGCAACCTACTAGCGATGGCCTGCAACCCACCAGCGATGGCCTCCTACCTACAAGGCAAAATGTGGACAAACATTGGACAAGGTTGAAACAAAGCAAGGCAACGGCGGTGCAACGCAAGCGCGACCAATCTAGCGAATCTGCCGAAGTCCTGGGATGACGCAAGACTGGACAAGCATAAACCACCTAGCTTCAACGATGCTGGTTTGTTTCCCACACAGGAAAGTGTCTGGTGAAAAACAAACAATGGCAACAGCGTGCAAACCCACCCCAGTAATTTACCGCCCTCCAACATACAGCTCCACCCGTCCTTCTCCGTAATCACAGCATGAGCGTGCAGAAGCATGATCCGTCCCAAGCCGAGCTCCTCAACATCCACACCGGACCTTTGCAAACAAAAGACTTTTGAATGTAAGAGCAATGGCCTCCACGGAAAAGTCATGTTTTGGAATGCAAAAATGAGCTCCTCGACTCTGCTAAACTCCTGCGAGCTCTGTTTGCCGTGTTTGCCACAATCTCTTCGCGTGATTTCTTCCAGTCGACTAGTAGCTTCAAGCTATTAGTAGTTTCTTGCTCCTAGTAGCGATGCCCTTTGCTCCTAGTAGCGTCTTTGCTCCTAGTAGTGATGGCAGGAGCCCCTAGTAGCTTCTTGCTCCTAGTACTGTCATGGCTTTAACGCTCGCAAGTTCAAGCGAACCAGCATCGGTGTTTGTGCAAGTCAAAGCGTCGGGCTGAACTGTCGGCCTTTGCCTTTCAGAATTTTGTCTTTAGTGTGGCCAGTATTGAAGGCCATGGCGAGTAGGTTGCAAGCCATCGGCCATCGCTAGTAGGTTGGAGGAGGCCATTGCTGTTAGGTTGGCGGCCATCGCTAGTAGGTTGGAGGCCATGCCTATTAGGTTGGAGGCCATCGCTGTTAGATTGAACACGCTTTGAATGCGCACACCAAATTGGCAAATCAGGACACACGGTCAGCGTCAGCGTCTGCGATGACTCTATTCCGTATAATTCGAACTGGAAACAGAATCTGTGAACGGAAGTGGACAAAGAAAAAACATGAACTATAACATAAAAAAAAGGAACAAGGTTCGCTACTAGGGGCTCCTGGCCATACTACTAGGAGCAAGGACGCTACTAGAGGCTGGCATCGCTACGAACGGAGCATTCTTCGAATGAAAGTCTCTCCAACTCGTTTCTCCTCTCGCGAAGACCTTGTGGACAGTCCTGGTCAGAAGCCGTTCGTCTCCGCTTGCTTCGCAGAGAGAGAGAGAGAGCTTCATTTCGTGCGTGTAGAAAGAAAAGGCCTTAAAAAAAATAAACGGTTTGACAGGAAACAAGAAGAAACAGATTCTTTCGATTCTTTGTTTCAGACATATTCCTTCTTTCCAAAAAGATCCAAAAGAAACTTTACCGAAAGAAGTCTCTCCGAGTTTCTCCCTCTCCTGAATCAGATTTGGTGGTCTCGGAGGCCCCGTCGTCCTCCCAAGGCCGAGAAGTGGTACAAAGATTCGGAACTTTTCTTTGTAGAATCAAATTTAACATACTACTAGGAACAAGGAAGCTACTAGAAACAAAGGGCATCACTACTAGGAGCAAGGACGCTACTAGGAGCTCCTGGCATCGCTACTAGGAACAAGGACGCTACTAGGGGCGAAGGGCATCCTAGTCAAACCTGAGAAAGGAGAGGATGAAAGCCAGCAAAAACGCACGGACTTGTTTAGTGTGCGCGCAGCCAGCAACAGCAATGCCCGAAATATGTGTTTTTCGCGGTGATCGGCGATATTTCGGGCATCGTGTTGAAGTCTTCCACACATGGCCACAGAAAAGAATCACTTAGTTATTTCGAGTGATCCCCACCATGGCTATCT